ACACTACCAGCTAGCAGTACTGTAGCAACTAAATACAATATCATTTTAGCCAACTACATTGGTTCGCAGCGACACCGTTTTTCAAACAAAGTCAACACCGCAGCCATTGCTAGCTAGCCAACACTACCAGCTAGCAATACTGTAGCAACTAAATACAATATCATTTTAGTCAATAAGAATTATGCAATGTAAAGCTTCACTTTCTGAACATTCGAGATGTGTAGTCCACTTGTGTAGCTAGCATGACTGACTTTGTGCTAGCTAGCCAACGTTTAATTATTTATACGTTATGAAAGGAACTAGACACGGACATGAATGATCTGTTTAGTGTGTTAACACACTATTGGTAGTTTGTTGTAACCAAGTATTGGTGCTAAACCGTGTGTTATTGGATGCTAGCATGCTAGCTAGCTATGGCGTCATAGGATACGGTGCCCTGGGCAGTTTTCACAGAAGAATACTGTACCAAGTTAGCTAGCTGAATAAACTAAGTTATAGTCTATTCCTAGAAAACATTGAACCGCTGTAGTTTACAACAATTGTAATTTCTAAAGTGGAAGTTGGGAGAGTTATATTTGAGTGTTTCAGTGAAAGGTAAGTGAGGGAGGCCCACTCTCTCGCTTCCCCAGATGTTTAGTTAATTTTATTCTGATCTCTTTTGCATTATTGTAGCCTTTTCTGTAGCCTGTCAACTATGTGTCTGTCTATCCCTGTTCTCTCCTCTCTGCACAGGCCATACAAACGCTTCACACCGCGTGGCTGCTGCCAGTCTAATCTGGTGGTCCCTGCGCACACGACCCACGTGGAGTTCCAGGTCTCCGGCAGCCTCAAGAACTGCCGTTCTGCGGCCATCAAGGCAGAGTTCATCTCAGCCTATGCTACCCTCCAGTCCCTCGACTTCTTGGCGCTGACGGAAACATGGATTACCACAGAAAACACTGCTACTCCTACTGCTCTTTCCTCGTCTGATCATGTGTTCTCGCATACCCCGAGAGCATCTGGTCAGCGCGGCGGTGACACAGGAATCCTTATCTCTCCCAAGTAGACATTCTCTCTTTTCCCCCTGACCCATCTGTTTCTCTCCTCATTTGAATTCCATGCTGTCACAGTCACTAGCCCATTCAAGCTTAACATCCTTATCATTTATCGCCCTCCAGGTTCCCTTGGAGAGTTCATCAATGAGCTTGACGCCTTGATAAGTTCCTTTCCTGAGGATGGCTCACCCCTCACAGTTCTGGGTGACTTTAACCTCCCTACGTCTGCCTTTGACTCATTTCTCTCTTCCTCCTTCTTTCCACTCCTTTCCTCTTTTGACCTCACCCCTACTCACAAGGCAGGCAATACGCTTGACCTCATCTTTACTAGATGCTGTTCTTCTACTAATCTCACTGCAACTCCCCTCCAAGTCTCCGACCACTACTTTGTATCCTTTTATCTCGCTCTCCTCCAACACTACTTACTCTGTCCCTACTCAGATGGTAATGTGCCGTCGCAACCTTCGCTCTCTCTCTCCCGCTACTCTCTCCTCTTCCATCCTATCATCTCTTCCCTCTGCTAAATCCTTCTCCCTCCGGTCTCCTGATTCTGCCTCCTCAACCCTCCTCTCCTCCCTTTCTGCATATTTTGACTCTCTATGTCCCCTATCCTCCCGGCCGGCTCGGTCCTCCCCTCCTGCTCCATGGCTTGACGACTCATTGCAAGCTCACAGAACAGGGCTCCGGACAGCCGAGCGGAAATGAAAAAAAATCTCCAAAACTCTTGAGCGTTCCGTCTCTAGCCAACTCTCCTGCTATCTCTCTCAGAATGACCTTCTTGATCCAAACCAGTCAGGTTGCAAGACTGGTCATTCAACTGTGACTGCTCTTCTCTGTGTCACGGAGGCTCTCCGCACTACTAAAGCTAACTCTCTCTCCTCTGCTCTTATCCTTCTAGACCTATCTGCTGCCTTTGATACTGTGAACCATCAGATCCTCCTCTCCACCCTCTCCGAGTTGGGCATCTCCGGCGCTGCTCACTCTTGGATTACGTCCTACCTGACAGGTCACTCCTACCAGGTGGCGTGGCAAGAATCTGTCTCCGCACCACATGCTCTCACCACTGGAGTCCCCCAGGGCTCAGTTCTAGGCCCTCTCCTATTCTCTCTATACACCAAGTCACTTGGCTCTGTCATATCCTCACATGGTCTCTCCTATCATTGCTACGCAGACGACACACAATTAATTTTCTCCTTTCCCCCTTCTGATAACCAGGTGGCGAATCGCATCTTTGCAAGGAATCTTTGCATGTCTGGCGGACATATCAGTGTGGATGTCAGATCACCACCTCAAGCTGAACCTCAGCAAGACGCAGCTGTTTTTCCTCACGGGGAAGGACTGCCCGCTCCATGGTCTCGCCATCACGGTTGACAACTCAATTGTGTCCTCCTCCTAGAGTGCAAGGAACCTTGGCGTGACCCTTACACAGGAAGCGGCACAGGTCCTAATCCAGGCACTTGTCATCTCCCGTCTGGATTACTGCAACTCGCTGTTGGCTGGGCTCCCTGCCTGTGCCATTAAACCCCTACAACTTATCCAGAACGCTGCAGCCCGTCTGGTGTTCAACCTTCCCAAGTTCTCTCATGTCACCCCGCTCCTCCGCACACTCCACTGGCTTCCAGTTGAGGCTTGCATCTACTACAAGACCATGGTGCTTGCCTACGAGCTGTGAGGGGAACGGCACCTCCTTACCTTCAGGCTCTGATCAGACCCTACACCCAAACGAGGGCACTACGTTCATCCACCTCTGGCCTGCTAGCCCCCCTACCTCTACGGAAGCACAGTTCCGGCTCAGCCCAGTCAAAGCTATTCGCTGCTCTGGCACCCCAATGATGGAACAAGCTCCCCCGCGACGCCAGGACAGCGGAGTCACTGACCACCTTCCGGAGACACTTGAAACCCTACCTCTTTAAGGAATACCTGGAATAGTATAACAGTAATCCTTCTAACCCAACCCCCTCCCCCACCCCCCCATAAAAAAAGGTGGTTGTCCCACTGGCTATCCTAAGTTGAATGCACCAATTTGTAAGTCGCTCTGGATAAGAGCGTCTGCTAAATTACTTAAATGTAAATGTAAATCTCACATCTGTGCCATATGCGCGAGTAGATTCGATTCAACTGAACATCTCTGTGATGTTGTCACTTGATTTCAAAATGACTGACACAGTGGCGAGGTTGCCAGTCCATCTCTGATCAAGAAGTAGTTTCTGTTTTCCCCCATTGTACTGTGTGGCCACCGTGGGTTTCCTAAAGAAATTGTACAGGGAGCTATAAACATTGAAAAAGTCCTCTATTGCCTCCTCAGACGACATAGTGTGCACCACAACCAAATGCAGACCTTGAACCAGGCGCTTCAAAAGGCCCGCTTTCTCCCACAGAAAATGCAGCTTGGGTAAGACAAACCTGCACTGGCCATTATCACCGAGGTCGTCAAGTACTAGTGGATGGAGTAATGGAGGTGCAGGTGCTTGTTGTTACCCTCATGCTGTTACCCTCATGCTGCTGGTGCTAGGCCATGGCTCTTGTTGGTCTCGTTGGGCAGCAGGCGGCTTAGGGGATGGGCGGATATTGCATTTGCTGCTAGACCCCTCAACCTCGTGGTCGGGCTAGCAGGCTGCTCGGTGAGCTCGGCATCGGTCTCGACATGCTGGTCCTCAGTTTTTGCTCTTGGCAGTGCCCAGCCATTTTTGGATATCCATGCTGATCAAACCTTAGCCAACTAGATATAATTATTCAGTATGCCACTACCAAAACTTGGTAGTGGCATACTACCTGGGATCCAATGAGTTTCCTAAACAAAACAAAACTGGGGGGGCACAAATTCTATCTGGGGGGGTCCATGCCTGGCTTTGCCACCCAGTAGAGCCGGCCCTGTATGGACATATTATAAGGCTTCTTCTTTTACATGTCATGGATTCACTATCATATCATCATATTTGCATATGTTTTATTATACCTTTACTGTGTACTAGGTCATATGGGTTGAAAAGTGTTTTTTTCTCTCAGATATACAGTGCCTTCAGAAAGTATTCACACCCCTTGACTTTTTCCACATTTTGTTGTGTTACTGCATGAACTGAAAATGGATTTAATTTATATTTTTTTCTCACTTGCCTACACACAATACCCCATAATGTCAAAGTGGAATAATGTTTTTAGAAAATAAATATGAAATGTCTTGAGTCAAAATGTATTCAACCCCTTTGTTATGGCAAGCCTAAATAAATTCACGAGTAAAAATGTGCTTAACAAGTCATATAATAAGTTGCATTGACTCCCTCTGTGTGCAATAATAGTGTTTAACATTATTTTTGGATGTCTACCTCATCTCTGTACCCCACACATACAATTATCTGTAAGGTCCCTCAGTCAAGCAGTGAATTTCAAACAGATTCAACCACAAAAAAAAGGGATGTTTTCCAATGCCTTGCACCTATTGGTAGATGGGATTATTATTCTTTTTTAAGAGCAGACATTGAATATCCCTTTGAGCATGGTGAAATTATTAATTATACTTTGGGTGATGTATCAATACACCCAGTCACTACAAAGATACAAGCGTCCTTCCTAACTCAGTTGCCGGAGAGGAATTTCACCAGGAGGCCAATGGTGACTTTACGCTTACCGTCCAGTACATTCACTTAGTACTTCCTCATGCAAATGTCTGTATGGCTGTTTAAGTGACTGATGTGTGTGTCAGAGAAAAACAGTACTATGCTTGTATAATTTTATCTAACTTACGCATCAGTCACTCAAACACCATGCATAACCATACAGACATTTGCATGAGGAAGTACTAAATGAATGTACTGGACGGTAAGCGTAATCACATTTTGTGCACTGTAAATGTATTTGGACAGCTTGGATAGACAGAAAGTGTCAGTGAATTGCTGATAAATAAATACAATTAGAGAGAGAGAGAGAGAGAGAGAGAGAGAGAGATAGAAGAAAGAGAGAAGGAGAGGGATGGCGTGCAGTGTGGGATGTCCAGTTTTCAGCAACCACTTGACGGTCCGCGAGAACGCCTTGCTCTTCAATCTCCTGGGAGTCCAGTGTAAGGTCAGTCTAACTCATAGAGAGGCATCTGTAACATTCTACCCTCTTTCTCTGTTTGTTCACACTTTCTGTTGCTGGTTATCCCTCTGTATTTATCCTCATTCTCTCATGTATCTTAATGGCCAGTGAGGACTCACTAATTTCCCCATTGTTCTCCACCCAACCCCATTGTTGCCACACGTACACTCCACTAAGTATTTATTTGTGAAGATACAACTTTTAATTTGGCTCTAGATTTGAGATGAAATGTTTTATATGAAGCAACAGTACCGAATGTCACCTTTTATTTGAAGGTATTTTCATACATATGTTTTATCGTTTAGAAATGAAAGCACTTGTATCTAGTCCCCCCATTTGAAGGTGTCATAATTGGACAAATTTACTTATAGTGTATTAAATTCAGTCAAATGTTTACTGTTTGGTCCCATAGTCCTAGCACGCAATGACTACATAAGGATTGTGACTCTACAAACTTGTTGGATGCATTTGCAGTTTGTTTTGGTTGTGTTTCGTATTATGTTGTGCCCAATAGAAATGAATGGTTAATAATGTATTGTGTGATTATTACATTTACATTTTAGTCCTTTAGCAGACACTCTAATCCAGAGCGATTTACAGTTAGTGAGTGCATACATAATTTTTTATACCCCCGTGGGAATCGAACCCACAACCCTGGCGTTGCAAACGCCATGCTCTACCAACTGAGCTACATCCCTGCCGGCCATTCCCTCCCCTACCCTGGACCAATTGTGTGCCGCCCCATGTGTCTCCCGGTCGCGACGACCGAGCCTGGATTCGAACCAGGATCTCGCCCAGCGTCGTCCAGGGTAGGGGAGGGAATGGCCGGCAGGGATGTAGCTCAGTTGATAGAGCATGGCGTTTGCAACGCCAGGGTTGTGGGTTTGAATCCCACGGGGGGGCAGTATAAAAAAAATAATATATATATATATATATATGTATTCACTAACTGTAAGTCGCTCTGGATAAGAGCATCTGCTAAATGACTAAAATGTAAATGTAAATGACTAAATGTAAATGTAAATCGAAAATGCTGTAGTATAGAGCCAAATTAAAAGTTTTAGCTTCATTGCCTTGGTTTTAAAAACTTTGCAGACAGAATTTTTGGATTAAATAACAATATCCAACAATAATATATAGTATCCAGTCAGTGATGATCTTTGAAAGTCCTGAGGTACTTTCCAGTGTTATCAGTCCTAGTGAATCACACGTGAAGCCCTGCAGGTGAAAGGGCTGTGTGTGAGGGCAGAGGGGATCATTTGGTTGTGGCTGATACAAATACCATCTATTTTGAATACCACGACCTAGTAGTAAGTAACAAGTATTCACCCACCTTGGCATTTTTCCTATTTTGTTGCCTTTTGGGGGGGGGGGGGTTGTATCATTTGATTTACACAACATGCCTACCACTTTGAAGATGCAAAATAAAAAACATTGTGAAACAAACAAGAAATAAGACAAAAAAACAGAAAACTTGAGCGTGCATAACTATTCACCCCCCCAAAGTCAATACTTTGTAGAGCCACCTTTTGCAGCAATTACAACTGCAAGTCTCTTGGGGTATGTCTCTATAAGCTTGGCACATCTAGCCACTGGGATTTTTGCCCATTCTTCAAGGCAAAACTGCTCCAGCTCCTTCAAGTTGGATGGGTTCCACTGGTGTACAGCAATCTTTAAGTCATACCACAGATTCTCAATTTGATAGAGGTCTGGGCTTTGACTAGGCCATTCCAAGACATTTAAATGTTTCCCCTTAAACCACTAGAGTGTTCCTTTAGCAGTATGCTTAGGGTCATTGTCCTGCTGGAAGTTGAACCTCCGTCCCAGTCTCAAATCTCTGGAAGACTGAAACAGGTTTCCCTCAAGAATTTCCCTGTATTTAGCGCCATCCATCATTCCTTCAATTCTGACCAGTTTCCCAGTCCCTGCCGATGAAAAACATCCCCACAGCATGATGCTGCCACCACCATGCTTCACTGTGGGGATGGTGTTCTCAGGGTGATGAGAGGTGTTGGGTTTGCACTAGACATAGCATTTTCCTTGATGGCCAAAAAGCTCAATTTTAAGAGTACCTTCTTCCATATGTTTGGGGAGTCTCCCACATGCCTTTTGTCAAACACCAAACGTGTTTGCTTATTTTTTTCCGTAAAGCCAAGCTCTGTGGAGTGTACGGCTTAAAGTGGTCCTATGGACAGATACTCCAATCTCCGCTGTGGAGCTTTGCAGCTCCTTCAGGGTTATCTTTGGTCTCTTTGTTGCCTCTCTGATTTGGTGGGCGGCCCTCTCTTGGCAGGTTTGTTGTGGTGCAATATTCTTTCCATTTTTTAATAATGGATTTAATGGTGCTCCGTGGGATGTTCAAAGTTTCAGATATTTTTTTATAACCTAACCCTGAGCTGTACTTCTCCACAACTTTGTCCCTGACCTGTTTGGAGAGCTCCTTGGTCTTCATGGTGCCGCTTGCTTGGTGGTGCCCCTTGCTTAGTGGTGTTGCAGACTCTGGGGCCTTTCAGAACAGGTGTGTATATATACTGAGATCATGTGACAGATCATGTGACACTTAGATTGCACACAGGTGGACTTTATTTAACTAATTATGTGACTTCTGAAGGTAATTGGTTGCACCAAATCCTATTTAGGGGCTTCATAGCAAAGGGGGTGAATACATATACAAATTTTTGGAAAGGTTATTTTTTTCATTTCACTTCACCATTTTGGACTATTTTGTGTATGTCCATTACATGAAATCCAAATAAAAATCAATTTAAATTACAGGTTGTAATGCAACAAAATAGGAAAAACGCCAAGGGGGATGAATACTTTTGCAAGGCACTGTAGATTGTGCAGCCAGGTCACCCTTGATACAAGTCAGTATTGGACTTCCATCCATGTCTAAGGATGTTGGGAGTTGACGTAGAAACCGGCCACTAGGGGCAACAGTGAGCACTGTTACCTTCAAGTAGTTTTCGGTTAAGCATCTGATTCCAAAGGTTGCAAGTTTGAATCCAGCGATAGAAAATTGTTTTGAGATTTTTCATTTAAGCCTATCCCTGTCACGCCCTGGCTCTGGGGACTCTGAAATGTTGAGCCAGGGTGTGGATTTTCTATGTTTAGTTTCACGGGGTAGCTTCTATGTTGTGTTTTCTATGTTTTGGGTTTTGTTCTAGATCATATAGATCTATGTTGGTCAGGGTGGTTCCCAATCAGAGGCAGCTGTTGCTCGTTGTCTCTGATTGGGAGCCATACTTAGGTAGGCTGTTTTCAGCTATTCTTTGTGGGATCTTGTTCTGATTTGGTTTGTGTTATACCGTAGACGTCACGTTATCGTTGTTGTTTTGATCGTGTGATCATTCTAAATAAATAATATGTTCACCTTCAACGCTGCGCCTTGGTCCGCTTCATCATGTGTCAACGATCGTGACAGAAGATCCCACCTCGACTGGATCAAGCAGCGTGACGAGGAGAGAGGATGGACGTGGGAGGAGATGAGTGCGAGTCTGGCAAGAGGGATGGAGGCCTTGGCCACGGGTAGGAGTGAAGCCCATACATTTTTTAGGGGGGGGCTAACGCCGTGGACGACGGGGCAGCAGGAGGACGCCAGGTTACGGGAGTCACTGGTCACCAGGGGGAAGGTGGTTGTAGAGGCACGGCGAGAGGTACTGGCGTGTGTTGCCAGTCCGGTCCGGCCTGTTCCTGATCCCCACGTAGGGCCAGTGGTGTGTGTTCCCAGTACGGTCCGGCCTGTTCCTGCCACTCGCACCAAGTCTACGGTGCGCGTCGCCAGCCCAGTCCGGCCCATTCCTGCTCCCCGCACCAAGTCAGTGGTGCGCTTCGTCAGCCCGGCTCGGCCCGTTCCTGCTCCCCGCACCAAGTCGGGTGCGCTTCGACAGCCCGGCTCGGCCCGCTCCTGCTCCCCACACCAAGCCAGTGGTGTGCGTCGTCAGTCCGGCACGGCCCGTGCCTGTTCCCCGCACCAAGTCAGGGGTGCGCTTCGACAGCCCGGCTCGGCCCGCTCCTGCTCCCCACACCAAGCCAGTGGTGTGCGTCGTCAGTCCGGCACGGCCCGTGCCTGTTCCCCGCACCAAGTCAGGGGTGCGCTTCGACAGCCCGGCTCGGCCCGCTCCTGCTCCCCACACCAAGCCAGTGGTGTGCGTCGTCAGTCCGGCACGGCCCGTGCCTGTTCCACCGGTGGCTGGTCCGGCACCGGTCAGATGCTTCACGTCGGAGCTAGAGCAATCCGCTCCACCAGTGTTCAGTCCAGCTCCGGCCAGCAGGGCCAGACCGGACCAGGGGTACTGTGGGGGGTTAGAGAGGGAGTGGGGATCATGCCCAGAGCCGGATCCGCCGCCAAGGCGGAGTGCCCACCCGGTCCCTCCCCTGTGGTGTTCTGTTGGCGCTGTCGGAGTCCGCGCCTTTGGGGGGGGGTACTGTCACGCCCTGGCTCTGGGGACTCTGAAATGTTGAGCCAGGGTGTGGATTTTCTATGTTTAGTTTCACGGGGTAGCTTCTATGTTGTTTTCTATGTTTTGGGTTTTGTTCTAGATCATATAGATCTATGTTGGTCAGGGTGGTTCCCAATCAGAGGCAGCTGTTGCTCGTTGTCTCTGATTGGGAGCCATACTTAGGTAGGCTGTTTTCAGCTATTCTTTGTGGGATCTTGTTCTGATTTGGTTTGTGTTATACCGTAGACGTCACGTTATCGTTGTTGTTTTGATCGTGTGATCATTCTAAATAAATAATATGTTCACCTTCAACGCTGCGCCTTGGTCCGCTTCATCATGTGTCAACGATCGTGACAATCCCAAACCTTAACCCTTACCTTAACCATTTGGAGTTAATGCCTAACCTTAAGACTTCTGAGTTAATGCCTAAACTTAACCATCTAATTCTGTCATGAGGCTGTGAGAGCTAGTGTGTTAAATAGTGAACCTAATCTCTAACCTGTTACTAATTATGTGTGTGTGTGTGTGTGTGTGTCTGTGTGTGCGCGTTTCAGGCGGTGGCCTCAGCAGTAGCCCAGGTGTATGTGTCACTCCCTGGGCATCCGGTGTGGCGGCGTGAGGGCTGTGGGGTAGTGTGTCTGGTCAAAGACCCCTCACAACACTCCTACTTCCTGCGTCTCTATTGCGTCAAGGTCAGAGGAACCATCACCAAACGAGTCATAACACCCGCTGCACCAGTCACTCAGACCTTCAGAGGAGTTACCTCTCTCTGTCTCTCAATACTTATACTATTTACAGATTTTTTATCAGTAATCAGAATAGTATGAGACCATATAGTGTGCATAAATATATTTTATTTTATTTTTTATTATTTTTATGGCGGTTAAGTTGTCACGGCTGTTGTCATTCAATGTCTCTGGTTTAAAACTAAAAGCAGGAAGTGCTTCTGACCTCTGGCAAGATGCCAGGTTGACCTGTTTATTCAGTCTCCATAGAGCAGGCCTCATTGGAATCTCTTTATCTCTCTCTCTCTCTCTCCGTGCATGTGTTTTTTGGCTGTGACAGTTTTCTCATGTCTTTACCAGTCACCATGAGCACACAGGTTCCTTAAAAAACAATAGGCTTTGTGTTAAAGGGTGTTTGGATGTGTTTTTCCTTTGTATATTACTGATGACTCAACTGCTTTTTTATTAAAAACAAAAACAACGTTTTAAATGAGAAGTAGGCATTGGTCTGAAGCCGAAAAATAAAGGAAATCCACATGAGCACCACAATGCCTACTCCACCCATGCTCTACCAAGGTTTTCCAGCACACAGCTTTGAGCTACTACAGTGGCTATGTTGGTATTGTACTTCAAACAATGTGTAGGCAGGTTACTTAGGATTCAAACCTTCTCAAACAGCCTAATTCATACTCTTAGAGGAGGTGCTACCACAATAATGTGATTTGTACCGCATACAAGGTCAAGTATTGGATTCTTTACACACCAGTATGACATTATCCCATTAAGCCCTTTTCAAGCTTTTTTTTATTAAATGAAAGCAAGCTTTGCTTTTATACTTACAAGACCAGGGGTGTCAAACTCATTTTACCTCAGGGGCCACATGGAGGAAAATCTATTCCCAAGTGGGCCGGACCGGTAAAATCATGGTATATATAACTTAAAAACAACAACTTCAGATTGTTTTCTTTGTTTTAATACGATCAACATAAAACATAAAGCTGGAGCCTGAGGACTGTGTGTCCAAAATAGTACAAGCACAACATCACTATTAAATCATAAAACACCTCAAGTTTATTTGAAAATTCTAAAGAAAAAGAACACACAAACACACAATGCCTCAGTGATTCACAGAACTGTTTCACAGATCACAGAACTATATCAGGGTGTCATTTCTCTGGCAGAAATGTAGATAAAAAGAATGAAATCCTGTTCCCCAAACAAGTGCAAGAACCACAGAGTCAAGAATAGGTTTAATATACAAATAAAATAAAATCAATTGAAAAAACAATAGCACATCAACATAAAAACATATACAGTGGGGAAAAAAGTATTTTGTCAGCCACCAATTGTGCAAGTTCTCCCACTTAAAAAGATGAGAGAGGCCTGTAATTTTCATCATAGGTACACGTCAACTATGACAGACAAAATGAGAAAAAAAATTCCAGAAAATCACATTGTAGGATTTTTTATGAATTTATTTGCAAATGATGGTGGAAAATAAGTATTTGGTCAATAACAAAAGTTTCTCAATACTTTGTTATATACCCTTTGTTGGCAATGACACAGGTCAAACGTTTTCTGTAAGTCTTCACAAGGTTTTCACACACTGTTGCTGGTATTTCGGCCCATTCCTCCATGCAGATCTCCTCTAGAGCAGTGATGTTTTGGGGCTGTCGCTGGGCAACATGGACTTTCAACTCCCTCCAAAGATTTTCTATGGGGTTGAGATCTGGAGACTGGCTAGGCCACTCCAGGACCTTGAAATGCTTCTTACGAAGCCACTCCTTCGTTGCCCGGGCGGTGTGTTTGGGATCATTGTCATGCTGAAAGACCCAGCCACGTTTCATCTTCAATACCCTTGCTGATGGAAGGAGGTTTTCACTCAAAATCTCACGATACATGGCCCCATTCATTCTTTCCTTTACACGGATCAGTTGTCCTGGTCCCTTTGCAGAAAAACAGCCCCAAAGCATGATGTTTCCACCCACATGCTTCACAGTAGGTATGGTGTTCTTTGGATGCAACTCAGCATTCTTTGTCCTCCAAACACGACAAGTTGAGTTTTTACCAAAAAGTTCTATTTTGGTTTCATCTGACCATATGACATTCTCCCAATCCTCTTCTGGATCATCCAAATGCACTCTAGCAAACTTCAGACGGGCCTGGACATGTACTGGCTTACTTTGGTCCCAGCTCTCTGCAGGTCATTCACTAGGTCCCCCCGTGTGGTTCTGGGATTTTTGCTCACCGTTCTTGTGATCATTTTGACCCCACGGGGTGAGATCTTGCGTGGAGCCCCAGATCGAGGGAGATTATCAGTGGTCTTGTATGTCTTCCATTTCCTAATAATTGCTCCCACAGTTGATTTCTTCAAACCAAGCTGCTTACCTATTGCAGATTCAGTCTTCCCAGCCTGGTGCAGGTCTACAATTTTGTTTCTGGTGTCCTTTGACAGCTCTTTGGTCTTGGCCATAGTGGAGTTTGGAGTGTGACTGTTTGAGGTTGTGGACAGGTGTCTTTTATACTGATAACAAGTTCAAACAGGTGCCATTAATACAGGTAACGAGTGGAGGACAGAGGAGCCTCTTAAAGAAGAAGTTACAGGTCTGTGAGAGCCAGACATCTTCCTTGTTTGTAGGTGACCAAATACTTATTTTCCACCATAATTTGCAAATAAATTCATTAAAAATCCTACAATGTGATTTTCTGGAGAGAAAAAAAATCTCAATTTGTCTGTCATAGTTGACGTGTACCTATGATGAAAATTACAGGCCTCTCTCATCTTTTTAATTGAGAGAACTTGCACAATTGGTGGCTGACTAAATACTTTTCCCCCCACTGTAAACATAAAGCTGGAGCCTGAGGACAGTGTGTCCAAAAGCACAACATCACTATTAATCATAAAACACCTCAAGTTATTTGAAAATGTTGAGGATAAAGAACTCACAAACACACAATGCCTCAGTGATTCACAGAAGTATATCACAGATCACAGAACTATATCAGGGTGTCTCATGCAGCACTTTAAGTGGGGTTGCATAGTTTATTTGTCTCCTGATACCTGGCATGTTTTAGCTTTCACCAGCGCATCAATATCAGGCGTCACATCCTGAGTGGCAGCCAACTTCAGGATGTGATTCAAGTGCTTATGCGTGAGCCTTGAGCGCAGCTTTGTTTTATTTATCCTCATTACAGAGAAAACTTGCTCACAAAGATATGTGGTTCCAAACATGCACAACAGTTTTGCAGCGAGGGCTGTCAAGTTGGGGTAACCTGGCAAGAGATTCTGATAAAATGTGTCCAAGCCAGCTGCGGCAAATTTGCCCTTCAAATCCGAGTCACACTGCAAGTCTATTATTTCAAGTTGGATGCTGACGGGCAGATCAGAGGGATTCACGGTGAATGGCGAGCAAAAAACGTTGAAGTCTTTCTCCAGTTCACCAAAATACTCCCGTAACAGTCCCGTTATTTTATCTTTGAACCGCTTCATGTCTGCCACATGTTGGGTCGCGCACACATTTTTCAGACAGGGGAAGTGAGCTGCATCACCACCGGCGAGTTGTGTCTCCTACAATGACAGATTCAACTTGAAAGAACGTATGCTGTTATAATACTGCGTGACAACTTTGTTGCGCCCTTGCAGCTGTTTGTTCAAGTTATTCAGGTGCTCTGTAACATCCACCATAAATGCAAGGTCCTGCATCCATTCTGCGGAATGAAATTCTAACACTGGTTTGCCCTTTTCTTCCATGAACTGTTCAATTTCTTCTCGTAAATCAAAGAAACGCCTCAGCACAGCACCTCGGCTTAACCATCTTACCTCAGTGTGGTATGGCAGGCCATAGATGTGGTCTTTCTCTCTGAGAAGGCTGTCAAACTGACGGTGATTCAGGCTTCTGGATCGGATGAAATTAACAGTTTGGATGACCACCTTCATGACGTTATCCATTTTTAATGACTTGCAACACAAAGCCTCCTGGTGCAAAATACAGTGAAAAGTCCAAAAATCACGTCCTCCATTTGCAGATTGCACTTTCTCTCTGAACTTTGTCACAACGCCTGCTTTTTTCCCGATCATTGAGGGCGCACCATCTGTAGCCAGGCTGACAGCGCGGGACCAGTCCACTCCGACCCTGTCCAGCGCGCCTACGAGTGCGGTGAAAATATCAGCTGCTGTCGTTGTATCTGTCATCGGCACCAACTCCACGAACTCCTCGGTGATGGTCAATGTGTCATCAACTCCGCAGATGGAAATGGCCAGTTGTGCAACATCTGTAATGTCCGTGCTTTCATCAATTGCAACCGAAAACGCAATAAATGACTTTACTTTTTGCTTCAACTGGCTGTCCAAATCCACTGAAAGATCGGAAATCCTGTCTGCAACTGTGTTTCTTGTCAGGCTGATATTTGCAAAAGCCTGGCGCTTTTCAGGGCACACAATCTCCGCTGCCTTCATCATGCATGTTTTTACAAATTCACCCTCACTAAATGGTTTTGAAGCCACTGCGATTTCATTAGCAATGAGGTAGCTAGCTTTCACTGCAGCGTCACTGATGTCTCGGCTGTGAGTAAACACAGACTGCTGTTTCTTCAGACCCGCCAACAGTTCATTCACCTTCTCTCTTCTCCGCTGTCCTTGAAAGTTGTCATATTTGTCGGCATGAAGACTCACATAGTGGCGACGAAGGTTATATTCTTTCAGCACTGCAACATGCTGTGAACACACCAAACATACAGCTTTCCCATTCAATTCTGTGAATAAATAGGAGGATGACCATTTTTCTTGGAACACTCTGCACTCTGCGTCCACTTTTCTCTTTTTTTGACAGAGACATATTGGGGCAATGAGGGTGCCAAAGCACATAATGTTAAAAGTAGAAGCCGTAATAAATATAGCGGGCAAAACAAAGTAGCTCATCCGGACTGGCTGCACTTGCTTGACCTACTTGCTCTGCCCCGGTATAAACAGTTTGCTTGCTTAACACAATTGCTATTGCGCCATCCAGTGGACGCAATTGGAACAGCAGTTTATTTTATTGAAAAATTGCAGCTCATTTTTATACTTTACAAAATCATCTCGCGGGCCCGGATTAAACCCGTTTGCGGGCCTGATCCGGCCCGCGGGCCGGACGTTTGACACCCCTGGTCTACACGGACAAGTTCTTGCCTGGTTTAGATCTTATCTGTCGGAAAGATATCAGTTAGTCTCTGTGGATGGTTTGTCCTCTGACAAATCAATTGTACGTTTCGGTGTTCCACAAGGTTCCGTTTTAGGACCACTATTGTTTTCACTATATATTTTACCTCTTGGTGATGTCATTCGGAAACACAATGTTAACTTTCATTGCTATGCGGACGACACACAGCTCTACATTTCGATGAAACATGGTGAAGCCCCAAAATGTCCTACCCTGGAAACATGTGTTTCACACATAAGGAAGTGGATGGCAGCACATTTTTTACTTTTAAACTCGGACAAAACAGAGATGCTAGTTCTAGGTCCCAAGAAACAAAGAGATTTTCTGTTGGATCTGACAATTAATCTTGGAGCGACAAACCACCCTTGCTGTCTCTGCCTGGCCAGTTCCTGTCTCTCCATTGGGATTCTCTGCCTCTGACCCTATTACGGGGGCTGAGTCACTTGCTTACTGGTGCTTTCCATGCAACCTCTACAACCACTGTGATTATTACTTGACCCTGCTGGTCATCTATGAACGTTTGAACATCTTAGAGAATGTACTGTGATAATCTCCACCCGGCACAGCCAGAAGGGGACTGGCCACCCCTCAGAGCCTGGTTCCTCTCTAGGTTTCATCCTATGGAGTTTTTCCTAGCCACCGTGCTTCTACATCTGCATTGCTTGCTGTTTGGGGTTTTAGGATGGGTTTCTGTATAGCACTTTGCGACATCTGCTGATGTAAAAAGGGCTTTATAAAAAAATTTCATTGATTGATTGATTGAATTGACAGTAGCACTGCACACAACAACACTATTTGACTGAGTTCATGTGTTCCAGGGCTCACTGCACTTCTGGTTTCCATAGAAACATTGGGCCATGGATCCACCTTTTTCACTCCAGAAACTTGTTTCCACTTAGTCCTCTTGAGGCATCATCAGCAGGAACTCCACTGTGATACGGATGCGTTCTCTCTGATAACAGAGATCCTATTGGCCACAAATATTTGAAACCTTGTACGCTCATTGGCTATGTACTTGAGCACTGACTGACTATCTGTCCAGAAAACCGAGTCATCCAGCTTCAGCTGTAGCTCTGTACGCAGCATCTTGTCCACCTTTACACTCAGTACTGTAGCTGCCAGCTCCATGCGAGGGATGGTTATCTGCTTCAGAGGTGCAACTCTGGCCTTCGCCATGACAAGATATACATGAACATCACCCCTTTGATTCATCAGTCTCACATAGCTTACTGTTCCATAACCTAGCTCACTGGCATCTGAGAAATGGTGCAGTTGAGCTTGAGTGAGTGGGCCAAAGTTAGTTGGCTTAATACACCTTTCAATCTTAAAGTTTAATTTTTTTTCAAGATTGCTTGTCCATTTAAATTACTTTTCAGACAAACACGTGGGGATATTCTTATCCCAGCCACAGCTTCTCCTACACAGCTCCTGTAACAGCAGTTTGGCAGGCAGGGTGAAGGGAGCGAGGAAGCCCAGGGGATCATAGATAGAACTCACCATGGATAGAATTCCACTACGTGTGTGGGGTTGGTCTTTTATGGTAACATTAAAGTTAAATGTGTCGCTCTCCACACACCATTGTACTCCCAATGCTCTTTCAATGGGATGTTTGTCTCTGTCCAAATTCAACTGTTTCACCTCTTTAGCTCTGTCAGCTTCTGAGATGGAGGCTAGTACAGTTTGGCTATTGCTCACCCACTTGGAGAGATGGAATCCTCCTTTATGACAAGTAGCTGTGCTATCCTTGGCATATTGCACTGCCTCCTCTTCAGCGGACACTGATTTCAGGCAGTCATCAACATAAAACGTATTTCTGATTGTGTCAACCACCTCCAGATGACAACATTCCTCTGCAGTCTTCTTTAATGCATAGCTTGCACAGCTCGGTGATGAGGCAGCTCCAAACAAATGTACAGTCATGCGATACTCAACAGGTGAGAGGTTAGTGTCACCTCCAGGCCACCACAGGAACCTCAGGAAATCAACATCACTGTGTGATACCTTTACCTGGTGAAACATTGCTTGTACGTCAGACATCATTGTTACAGGCTCCTGGCACACCTACAAGACTGTTAGTCAGATCTGGGCCTTGAAGAAGCTCTGAGTTCAGTGATGTGCCCTTGTATGTAGCAGCACAGTCAAAAACAACTCTGATTGTCCCCTTCTTTGGGTGATATACCCCATGGTGTAGAATATACATTTTAGTCATTTAGCAGATGCTCTTATCCAGAGCGACTTACAGTTAGTGAATACATATATTTTTATACTGGCCCCCCGTGGGAATCGAACCCACAACCCTGGCGTTGCAAACGCCATGCTCTATCAACTGAGCTACATCCCTGCCGGCCATTCCCTCCCCTACCCTGGACGACGCTGGGCCAATTGTGCGCCGCCCATGAGTCTCCCGGTCGCGGCCGGCTGCGACAGAGCCTGGATTCGAACCAGGATCTCTAGTGGCACAGTTAGCACTGCGATGCAGTGCCTTAGACCACTGCGCCACTCAGGAATATACCAAACTTTACCATCTGTACGCTCTAGTTGCTCTTCTGGCACTCTCTCAGCGTACCCCTTGTCAATGACATCAGAGAGGAAACCTTTGTATTCCTTAAGGAAGTGTTCATTTCTTTTGAACTTGCATTTCAAGTTTAGGAGGTGCTGTTCAGCAACATGACACTTGTCGGGTAAGGTGACATCATCCTTCCTGAAAAGGTAACCTCAGGCTGTAATGGCCCTCCTGTAACTTGACAGAATAATTAATTATCTTCATAAACCTTTTGTCTTCCACTGACATTTATTTTTTCTCCTCGTAGGACTTCTCATTGAAATCTGTGTTGTATTGACTTATCAACATCTCTTCCAGATTCGAAACGGAGATTCTGTTAGCTGTAACAGTAGGACAGCGACTCTTGTCCTCATTATTATGGCTTCGAAAGGGACCATTGACAACCCACCCCAGTAGGGTCCTCACAGCATATGGTCCATTTTCGCAGCTGTTAACCACCTCCCATGGTTCCATGAGCTTGGGAGCGTTGGTTCCTATCAACATCTCCACTTCTGCATTAATTTCAGGAATCTTTACATTACTCAGGTAAGGCCACTTGGACAGGTCTTTCTCTGTGGGGATATTTTCTGTACTCACTGGCATGTTGTTCTGAGTGTAGACATCAGGTAATTTGATTAAGTTGTTTTTCTTCAACTTAGAAACCTCCAATCCTGTGATAACATGAGTGTGCATCGACTTTCCTTTTACTTGATTCATGGTCTTCAACACAATTTTGGCTCCTTTTCCTGTGATGCCAAGCTGTGTCATCAGTCTCTCTATGCATTATGTGGCTGTGCTTCCTGGGTCTAGGAAGGCGTATGTCTGGATAACCCTGTTGCCTTTACTGTGTTTGACCTTTACTGGTACAATAGCAAGTACACATTCCTGGTCCCCGGCCCCAGTATGCCCATATATGTTCAGAGAAACCAGTGCACTGCTCACTGGTGCTTCTGATGACTGCTCTGCTGTTCCTCTGTCTCTCTGATCAATATGAAGCACACTTGGGTGAGTTTGGTTATATACTCTGCATTTGAGACGCCTATTGCAGTCTCTTGACATGTGTCCACTTGACAAGCAACCAAAACAAATTCCCTTTTCCTTTAGGATACCAATCTTCTCCCTGTGGCTCCTTTTCCTAAGTTGTGGACACAGCTCCAATTTGTGACCGCCGTTACAGAACAGCCATCTGATGTATTGGGTTTGGGGGGTTTGCTGTGGTGATGACACGCTGGTAGCAAAGCTGCTCCCTGTGGATTTGTGAATAGACGTGTGAATGAGCCTTGAGTGTGGCCTTTGAGTCTTGCTACTGGTTTCTGTAGGATCTTGAATATCATCGAACACTGGATGTGTGGCTATTCTCACTTGTTTTTCAATTAACAGGATGAGATCAAGGAGTCTAGCACGCCTGTCATGGTGCTGCTCCTGTAAATCACAGGCAACTGACCTCCACCTCTCCCTGAGTTTGTAGGGTAGTTTCAGGATGATGTTCTTTAAGCAGGCCAGATCCATCTTGTCCATATCTTCCATTGCATTACAACAACCTCTGAGGTATAATACATGAGCCTGTAATGCCTTGGGGTCTTCAGATTTGATGCTAGGCCAGCTAAAAGCCTTCTCCATGTATGCATTGGCAATCTTGTATTCATTTTCGTAGCGCTCCTTTAATAAGCACTTGGCTTTGTGATAGCCCCTATCTGGAGCTGTATGTTGGCAGCTCCTAACTAGCTCTCGAGCCTGCCCTCTGGTGTACTGTTCGAGGAAGTGCAGTTTGTCGTGGCTAGTTTGGGCTCTATTCTCTATACCATGTTCAAATGACTGAATGAAGGACCTGTACTGTAAAATGTCACCATCAAAAACAGTAATGTCTTTGGGTGGCAGAAAGGAATGATGTTGCTTTTTGGCTAACATAGCAGTAACTTAATTCTGTCTTTGGAGAATGGTGATGAGAGGGTTTTCTATGTTGTTTTCCCGTGAAATGTCCTCAGCACCTTCCTGTGAATTGGGAAGTCTTGTCTGTTCTCCCCGTGGCCCTCTATGTGAGTTGGTCAGCAACGATCCTTGTCCTGTATAGGCCTACAGACTTGGGTTAGAGTCTTGTGCAGCAGTGTGCTCTCCATGAGCTGCTGTCTGAATCCCACTGTGTCCTGACTGTTCTGATTGAGCTGAAACACTGTGAGCCTGGGCTGATTAACTGTCAATGTGCTCAATGAATTGGGATCCTTCTTTGGGACGCACACTTGGTGCATGTCTGGCAGAAGTGCCCCTCTGCCCTGTGTGAAATTCATGGTCTGAGATCCTGTATATCCCCACCATTTCCTCAAAGTAGCCATTCATGCCATCTATTGTTGTTGAGTTGGCCTTTCTTTCTTCCCCTGCAGATGTCAAAACCGTGAGTTTTGCTGAGGCAGCTGCTATTTCAGTTTGCAGCTCAAGAGTCTCCCTTCTTTCCCTCAGTTCCATCTTTTCTTGGATCAATTCCTCCTCCTTACCCTCTAGATGGTGTTTGAACTTGAGAGCAGCAGCCTTTGTTATTAATGCTGCTCTTTCAGCCTCTGCTCGAATGCAGGCTGAGGATGTGGAGGATACACCAGAGCGTGAACTCCTGTTAGACCTGCGGCTGGAGGTTTTGGACACACTGTCAGTAGGTTTAACGTCATCTTTCTCATCAGTGCATTCATCAGCTTTCTCTGGTGCTGGGGCTACACCTGAGATCCATTGGGACACAGTAAGAAGAAATGCCTTAATATGCTGCCATTTGGGTTCATACCAATTCAACATATTTTTTATTTCATCCTCAGGTATCATGTGATGACAGGAATCAATTAATCAAATTTCATTTAACTGGAGCATGTTTGTTTTTTACAACTTCAATATTCGTATTGTCAGTCATTAGATCAGTAACAATGTTCATTTCGCGAGTCAGTTTTCCCAGTTTACCCCTTCTGGATTTGCGCATTTGGGAAACTTTCTCCTTCAAGACCTTTTCTGATAAAGGCTCCTCCACTAGCGCCATGTCGCCCCCATACACAACGCTATCTGCAGTGGTATAATTCTCTTCAGCCATATTCCCTCAATAGGCTATCACAATAATATATATTTCGATATGCAACCATGAACATAGATCAATAAGCGCTCCGATGCGCTGCGCTCCTTTAACAGTGTCAATACATCATTAATCTTCACACTTCAATGAATTAGGCAGCGGAGATTGGAAATCGGATTCTATGCATTCACAAGCCATTTTCCAAATAAGTCACTCCAATAGCAAACTTTCCATACTTTGAATGCATTATAAGTGTAGCCATACACTCAAATGTACCATTAATCAATCCAAAAGTTTGTGCGCTTGTTAGGCTACTTTACATACCCAAGTGCGTCTTTTGACTAAATGTAGTGGCTAAATTGTCCAATATAATTGTCCCAATACAATTTCCATTCTAATCCTTTAGCCACAATGGAGAGTGGTGAAATGTTAGTCTTGACACATACAAATCCAATGTCCAGAGTTTGATTCAAGTTGAAAAATAATAATACATTTATGTGTCATTTTTCTGGATACAAAAATGTATAACATTCTACCAAAATGAATTGTGATCATTAAACTAAAGAAACAAACAGCATGGTAACATGGTCTGGTATGGTCAAAAGACTGTGTGCTGCCATTCCAGTCTTCTTCTTCTTCTTCTTCAGTGGGGTTTATCGGCGTTTGGCATCCAACGTTATGGTGCATTACCGCCACCTACTATACTGGAGTGTGGGCCAGAGATAGGGAGAAACTAAACCCTAGGTGCCAGCTGCCGTTGCTCTAAAAAAAAGATTGCAAAATATTTGAGACTATATCAAATGACGTTCTACTCAATATACTCGTTAAACTAATTTCCTGTATCCCCTTCTCCCTCATCCTCTCGCTTTCCCTCTGATACTGCCCACATTGTAGCAATACATGCTCCACGGTCTCTGTTTCCTTTTAAGTGTATACTCCATTGGCCTGTAGAGGGGGCACACACACTTGACGGGATTAATGGCAAACACACATGCAACAGAAATGTATCATGAATTGGAAACATGCAAATATACAATATGACCTATTTGGCTTCTACACCTATATCTAAAAATACATACAGCCAAATGATATATATATATATGAAGAGTATGAATTAGGCTGTTTGAGAAGGTTTGAATCCTAAGCAACCTGCCTACATATAGTTTGAAGTACAATACCAACATAGCTACTGTAGTAGGGCAAAGCTGTGTGCTGGAAAACCTTGGTAGAGCATGGGTGGAGTAGGCATTGTGGTGCTCATGTGAATGTCCTTTATTTTTCGGCTTCAGGCCAATGCCTACTTCTCACTTAAAACATTTTTGTTTTTCATATCCATGATTTTTACACCGGTGCACCTTGTGCTGGGGACAATAAAAGTCCACTCTAAAATGTGCAGTTTTGTCACACAACACAATGCCACAGATGTCTCAAGTTTTGAGGGAGCGTGCAATCGGCATGTCCACCAGAGCTGTTGCCAGAGAATCGAATGTTAATTTCTCTAGCATAAGCCTCCTCCAACGTTGTTTTAGAGAATTTGGCAGTACGTCCAACCGGCCTCACAACTCACAACCGCTCTCCTCCTCTCACCTTTTCCCTTCGCTTGTGGACTTCAGTGCACAACACATCAACTGTCTGTGACCAGGAGAAAAACCTTTCTAAGCCAAACCTTCATATCATGACCGCTAACCGCTACACACAGCCTACATCTTTGTCATGTCATGGTCAACATACTAGAACTAACATGTTAGTAAACCCGCTACAATCATGCAGTACAGTCAAAAAGCTGTTTATTGCCCCGGTGGCAATAAATTAATAAAACCAAAAGCTTACCTTGACATGGAAGAGTTAAGGACCCTGGGACTAAACACCTCCCTCTGCAACTGGATCCTGGACTTCCTGACGGGCCGCCCCCAGGTGGTAAGGGTAGGCAACAACACATCTGCCACGCTGATCCTCAACACACGGGCCCCTCAGGGGTGCATGCTTAGTCCCCTCCTGTACTCCCTTTTCACCCACAACTGCATGGCCAAGGACGACTCCAACACCATCATTAAGTTTGCTGATGACACAACAGTGGTAGGCCTGATCACCGACAATGAGACAGCCTATAGGGAGGAGGTCAGAGACAACAACCTCTCCCTCAATGTGAGCAAGACAAAGGAGCTGATCGTGGACTACAGGAAAAGGAGGGCCGAACATGCCCCCATTAACATCGACCGCGCTGTAGTGGAGCGGGTCGAGAGTTTCAAGTTCCTTGGTGCCCACATCACCAACAAACTATCATGGTCCCCAACACACCAAGACAGTCGTGAAGAGGACACGACAACACCTTTTCCCCCTCAGGAGACTGAAAAGATTTGGCATGGGTCCCCAGATCCTCAAAAAGTTATACAGCTGCACCATCGAGAGCATCCTGACCAGTTGCATCACCGCCTGGTATGGCAACAGCTCGGCATCCGACCGTAAGGCGCTACAGAGGGTAGTGCATACGGCCCAGTACATCACTAGGGCCAAGCTTCCTGCCATCCAGGACCTATATACTAGGAGGTGTCAGAGGAAGGCCCAAAAAATTGTCAAAAACTCCAGTCACCCAAGTCATAGACTGTTCTCTCTGCTACTGCACGGCAAGCGGTTCCGGAGCGCCAAGTCTAGGTCCAAAAGGCTCCTTAACAGCTTCTACCCCCAAGCCATAAGACTGCTGAACAATTAATCAAATGGCCACCCGGACTATTTACATTGACACCCCTCCCCCTTTGTTTTTACACTGCTGCTACTCGCTGTTTATTATGTATGCATAGTCACTTTACCCCTACCTACATGTACAAATTACCTCAACTAACCTGTACCCCCGCACATTGACTCGGTACTGGTACCCCCTGTATATAGCCTCGTTATTGTTATTTTATTGTGATACTTTTTATTTTATTTTTTACTTTTGTTTATTTAGTAAATATTTTCTTAACTCTATTTCTTGAACTGCATTGTTGGTTAAGGGCTTGTAAGTAAGCATTTCACGGTAAGGTCTACACCTGTTGTATTCGGCGCATGTGACAAATACAATTTATTTTATTTTATTTGAGTTCCAGTGTTGGATAGCCATAGCCAGCAAGCTAACATAGCATCCCTCTCTGTTTGAGCCGGTTGTTTGAGTAGGCTAAAGTAACTAGCTTCTAGTGAAAGTGAACATTTAAAAAATCCTCATGATTGTATTTTCCTTCCTTTTTAGACCACGTAGGTGCTAATGAAATACTTCAAATGGTAGGCTAACCGAGTCTCTCGCTCTCTCTCTCGCTTCTCCTTCATTTTGGAAGAAATTAATTTATTCAAAACTCTTCAACTATTGTCTTTCTCTCTCTCTTTGAGTCAACTCACTGCATTTTATGCACTGCAGTGCTAGCTAGCTGTAGCTTATGCTTTCAGAACTAGAATTCTCTGATCTTTTGATTGGGTGGACAACATGTCAGTTCATGCTGCAAGAGCGCTGATAGGTTGGAGGACGTCCTTCGGAAGTTGTCATAAATACTGTGTAAGTCTATGGAAGGGGGTGAGAACCATGACCCTCCTAGGTTTTGTATTGAAGTCAAAGTACCCAGAGGAGGACAGAAGCTAGCTGTCCTCCGGCTACACCATGGTGCTATCCTACAGAGTGCTGCTGAGGCTACTGTAGACCTTCATTGCAAAACAGTGTGTTTTAATCAATTATTTGGTGACGTGAATATATTTAGTATAGTTTTATCTAAAAATTATAACTTTTTTTAATGTTTCACTATTTAGATTTGTATGAAATTCACTGAGGAGGATGGTCCTCCCCTTCCTCCTCTGAGGAGCCTCTACTGACCACCACACTCACTGGCACTTGCCTGCCTCTCCACGAACCCAAAGGCTCTTTTAAGAGCCACCTAATGAATTAAAATAAGTGTGTGTGTGTCAGGAGCGGGCTGTCAAAACTATAAATGAAAAAATGGTCAAAATATCTCCTCCGGAGGCCAACCCGCAATGTTATGATCGACAGGTGTTAACTCTATCCATTATACTTTGAATCCTGTTCTCAACTCATTGACTTATCAAATCAAATCCAATTGTATTGGTCCCATACACATATTTAGCAGATGTTATTGCGGGTGTAGCGAAATGCTTGTGGTGTAGTGAAATGCTTAGACAGACCATTTAAATGGCTGGAAGCGTTCTTCCAAAATGATTTTGTTCCTTCACTCAGTAGTCATTGCACATTTATTTATCTTGCTTGATTACAATACAATAGTCTAAAACAGTTGATTTGTTGAAAACAGACTCATTTAATCATGTTGTTAACCAAGTTAGCAAGTATTTCATTTTCTTTTGACTGCACGCTGTTGCAACCTGATCTCATAGCATTTAGTATTATTCTGTACGTAAATCTGAGACATAACCACTTAGCTTGATGCTAGGTTTCATACGGTATGTTTTAATTTGTGGATGTCCATCATCGATTTTGCATGATATGTTACAAATTACAATTCGTATGATATGTTACGAATATGCTTCAATGTTGTCCGGCAGTCTCACCCTCAACTCATTAGTGAGGGAGATGGTGAAGGCTACACACCGCTTTCAGACATTGTTTTCATCCTCAAGCGCAAGGTGGAGCTCAGCTGCCTTTGACTCAAAAAGGTAACCAAGGTACGGTTTGGGACTGATGTATCCATCTATTGGCCCTTTGAGTACATCAACATTTGCCAGTGGATTCAGCACCCTGCTGCTCACAGACTTGATCAGGCTAACCAAGTTGTCAAGTAGCTTAAGAGGATCTACTTGCTCTCCCTCAAAAGCCTTGATGGCCAACTGTACCTCACCCAGCACTGACTTATAAAAGTCAGATACAATATGTTTTCAGGATCACTGTACATGGAGTATAAAACCTCAGCCATGTAGCAGTGTTCACTGGACTTGGTGACTGCGAAATGCAGCCTAAGCTCCTCCCACTGGTCCAAAATGCGTGAAACCGCGGGTTCAATGGAGAGCCAACGTGTGGCACACACCTTGGTTATCTGTAAAGGTTTCTCCCCACAGTTGATGGTCTCATATATGGCCTTGTAGGCCTCACTGCGCTTTGGAGACACTGAAAACCAGTTATAAGTCTCTCGTACAAAGTACTCCACACTACGGGGGATGGTGTTATTGGAAGCATGACTTACAGCAAGCTGCAGAGAGTGGCACACACAGCGAATAAGAACCAGATCTTTGAGGCCATACTCCTCCTTCAGCACTTTATCGACCCCATTGTTAATCCCCGTCATAACAGAGGCATTATCAGTCCATATCCCCAGGAGTTTCTCTTTTTTAAGACAACACTTCGAGGAAAGCCACAACAGCACGGGCTATAGATTTGGCATCTCCTCCTTCCAACTCAACAAGCCCCAGAAATGTTGATACAATTGTCTGCTTGGTGTCACTAAAGTACCTTATCACAACCCCCAGGTACTTAGGAACACTTACATCCGTGGACTCATCGAGGAGGAGGCTGAAACGCTGGTCACCCACATCTGCAACCAACCTTTTCAGAAAGTATGGTGCTAAAACACAATTAATAATTTCTGTGCACTTTGTCCTGTGCATTTCTAAGTGGGTAGCAGCAGTGGAGTCTGAGAAAGCAGCTCTACATGCTTCTCCAATGCGATCACATGCCAGCATGGAACAGTGTTCAGCGATAGCTAATGTCATGGTGGCCTCAGCCTTTTTTGCAGAGTCAATTTTTTTAAACCATAAATGGCAGCTTGTTTTGGGTGGAACTGTTATAAGGCTTTGTTTTTTGAGTTGTCATGTGTTTTTTTACATCACTAAGTTTGCCGTAGAAATCAGCCTTTCAATACAGGCAGTATGCCTGTGTATCATCTCTAATAAACGGCTTCAACCAGCCTTTGAATTCAGGGTTTGATTCCCACTCCTTTGTGTATTTTTGAGTTTAGACTGAGAGATGATGAGCTAGCCAGCTAGATGTTTAGCTTATGTCACAGAGGCACACACACAGCTGATTGCTGCGCGAGGACTGGGCCGCCTGGGCCGCCTGTGAGTGCTTTGGGAGGGGGGTGGGGCCCACGGGGGTGGGGCCCACGGCAGCACCCGCTGCTCGTTGAGAAGAGTAAGAACGATACGTGCTTTCACGTCAGAGTCTCCAAAAGTCTCCAATAACACCAGAAAAAGTCGCTAGATTTGTCGCTAGTCGATTTTTTGAAAATGTGTCACTAGAGGGGCCCGAATACTCGCTAAATATAGCGACAAAGTCGCTAAGTTGGCAACACTGGTAGAACTATGAGCTTTGGCTAAAAACTGTTAGCATTGTCAGAAATACTACAAAAAGGTAGCACATTGTTGTTTCTTAATGGACGGAAGTGTGCTCGTGAGATAAATTATACATTTAATAAAAACTGTTGCACCTACACATTTAGTCAATACAACAAAAATGTAAATCCAATGGTCACTTTATGGATGCTATAGTCTCGTTTTAATCCAACATCTAGAATTTGAGCTAGGTAGCCGCAGAAAATACTATGAAAACTCAATTGCTAACGACCCTGTTAAAAATCCGGTATGTGGTTCTTGGTAACAGCCAGACGGCTCATGATGAGAGGTGGGGAGTGTGTCTTGTGCACCTCTAATCAACTTTATGTACACTTAATTATCTAATCTCCTCTCTTTCACCTTTAACCTACCAGAGATCTAAGTTGCTGTGGGAACAGGAGCTGTATGTTCCTTTTCGATACTCAGCACCCCACTCCTACTTCCACACCTTCCCTGCAAATGTAAGTGACATGCCCAGAAATCACATCTAAAGAGTTAAGTTATTCCCATATCAAACAGAACTCTATAATTCTGTTTCAACCCTGATGACCAAAGCAACAAAACTGCTCATGGAACAGCTTTTAAGGGCATATTAACCATTCTGCTATTAAATGGGTTAGGGTTGAGGGTTAGAGTTGAACCAGGATGTGGACATGAAGCTAGGGTTAGGGTTGAGCCTGGTGTGGATATGAAGTTAGGGCTGAGGGTTGAGCCGGTGTGTGGATATTAAGCTAGTGTTGGCGTTATGCTAGGGTTGGGATTAGGTTAATGGCTAGGGTTAGGGTTGAGCCAGGGTGTGGAGCTAGGGTTAGGGTTAGACCTACAGGGTTATGTGAGTTCATTGGTTGGTTGGTTCTGCAACATGTTCATAATATCACTGGCTCTTAAAAGGCTTTGGCTAATAGCATAGCTCTGAAAGGGTGATTGTTCTGGTCATTGATGACCTTCCACACTGGCTGTGTGTTTGTTTAGGACTGCCAGGCGGGCCTGAACTTTGCAGATGAGGCAGAGGCAGAGAGGTTCTGTGCAGCCGTGGAGAGACAGATTCAACAAGCCCCAGGTTTGGAGAGAAAAACACACACACGTCAGATTACATTTACATTATAATAAGCTCTCTCAGCTTCAGGCAGGCCAGTCCTCTTCTCTTTCTTACTCTCCCTTGTCTCCTCTTCCCAATCTCTCTGTCTCCCTCTTTCACTCTATTTCTCCCCATAACATTTTATATTTTGCTCTCTTTTGCTGAACCCCCCCAATCTTTCTCTCTCTCCCCCTCTCTCAGACAGAGCTAGCGTGCAGCTGAACCGTACTGACTCCTCCTCAGGCTGTGTCTGTGAACAGGAACAGAGCAGATCTGAGATCAGCACTCCATCTCCATATGTGTCAGAGTGAGAAATATAGTACATCTGCACACTAGAGCTCAGACAGACTCAGACAATTCACTATTAGAGATATTTTATGACGCTGCATTAGAATGGAGTAAAAGATAAATACTGATTTAATATTCTCTCTTCTCCACAGACAGGAGTCCCAGGTGGCAGTGGACCCAGAACAAGGCCTCAGTGTGAGCACAACACCGACACCACTGTTGTTTTATCACATCCATAACACAACCATTATTATGTCGCTGTCGGATGAAAACCTCTTATGTCCAATTAACAATTATGAAATTCAGAAGCTATTTTGAATACATTTTCTTGGTCCTAGAGTCATGAAATGTACAGAGTACATTGATGAGAGTTACTGCTTTTAATACAAGGTTTTCATCCTACAGTGTATTATGATCATCATAGAATAATTCACAGAATTCTAATAGCACATTTATATCTGTTATATCACAGTCATCAATGCTATTGCAATGTCACATGCATTCTCATCCTCACTTGTGTGCAGACTAGTGAGCTGGACCCTGCTCTGAGGAAGCAGCTCAGGATGCAGAGGCTAAACGAGGAGGAGGCCAGACACACCTCTAAAGTCATCTGCAGCCTCTTCTACAGACTGGGGGGCCTGGAAGCTGTCAGCAGGGACATGTACAACAGAGGTAGGCCCCCTGCTGGCTAGGAGGGATCATCTGTTGCATTGCCTTGATGATTAGTTGAAACAGGTGTGTTAGTGCTAGGCTAGAACAAAAGCCTGTGCACCCACCCTGTGTGTCTCCAGAGCCAGGTTTGAAGAACACAGGACAGAATTGTTTTTGTGTCTGCCACAGGTCCAGCCTCTAAGACCTTACCCAACAGATATACAGGGACCTCCACCTCCCTGGCCCTGAGGAAGGGGCCTCTGCCTCCTCTCCCGTCCCCCCTCACACGCAGTGTCAGCTCCCGAGATGTCTCCAAGAGCCCTCTCCCACCCTGGGTCCCCCAACCTCCCTCTATGCCCGCCCCCCCTCCTCCTGCAGGTGCACACGCTGAGAGGATCAGAAAGACCATCAGTTTCAGACCGGTGAGAGAAAATGACTGGGGCATGTCAATCAAAGTCGTAGACTATGTCCAATGTATGGCGATGTGTGGTTGATACAATGGTGTGTGTGTGTGCACATATGATAGGTGGGCTCACCCTCTGCTGTAGAGTCTGACCTGGTCCTGAGTGCAAAGAGGGAGACATTTCAGAAACGTCAACACCTCCAGCATCATAAAGGTAGGCCTACTGTATCTCTCTCTCCATCTCATCTCATCCACAGTCTGTGATGTCAGCTCACCCTGGGGTCATCTCAAGTCAGGCCTGTTCTGCAGCTCATCATGTCTGTCTTCTCCTCTGCAGATGACACCACAAGCCAGTCAGAGATGGATTCTTACAGCGGGCAGTGGCTGTAGAGATACCAGCTTGAGAGGAGAAATATCCTCCTGCTTTCACAAGCATGTTGTTATTTGAAGTCTTCACGTTTGTCTTTGCTTTTGAATTAATTCATTGTTAAATAATGATGCATCATTGGAAAAGTGGTGTTTTAGTGAAGAATGCAATGCTCAATCAAGCCCTTTCTAAAATAAAATCTGTACAATTCTCCATCTAACTCTGACTAAAACTTCCCATGAATTGTGTGTGTACAAATACAAACGTTCTCAATCTTGCTGACCTCATCACCACTCAACTCTTGTGGTGACCCCTGAACTCTTGTGGTGACCCCTGATCTCATTGCCACATAGGCTGTCATCTTTTGATTCATCTGAAAGCAACCTTAGTTTAAAAAAAACAGGGACATTTGTATTTTAAAATATCATTAATTTCTGGTAGTGTAAAACACAATCTAGCTAGTGGCTCACATAGCCTAACCCCGTGCCTGTGCTTAAAACGCAACCGTTGTAGCGCATCTGCTGCTGCTGCATTTGCGCGCTCTGAAATCCTCTCCACCATCTACATTCAATTTCATTGAGCGCCGCTGAGAGACGCACATTAAACGAAACTACGCTGGCAACGAGCAACTACTCTCCTTCAAACCTGGACAATGAGAGTTTCCTGCCGCCCACGATCAACGCGAGACAGGGAAGGTAAGGGTTCAATGCCGATGGAGTCGTAGCACTTGTCATTTCATGCTGGATGCAATGACGGAGTTTCAACGATGTGTGCTGCAGCCCCTAGTGCGTTGCGTTGGCTAACTAGCGGAGGAAGTAAACAAGCTCCTCAGGTAGGCTAGGGCTAGGTCTCCAACAACAGAGCCATATTGCCTCTTTTTTTTAGAAGGCAAGAGGCGAATATTTGTCATTAATATACAAGTTTAGCGTTCGCAAAGACTGTTGTTGATAGTGCCTCTCTGCTAGCATCACAATCTGATTTAGCTAGTGGAACATTAACTGTCCATTACATATTTTAGGGTAGCATATATGTTGTATTTTTATCAGCAGAATCGTGACTGTGCCAGCTGGTAGGCTATTTGATAAAAATGCATTTGTTGAAATTTGGTTCAATGATAATGCTATGTGAGATGTTATTTGTTAGTAAATGTAATACATTTCTTATTTGATCCACAAATAGCCTATCACGGATTGTTGTTGCTCAGTCATTGCCATGAACGGAATGAAGCTTTGATTGGGCAGCTCATTTGCAGGACTGGAGAAGTGGAGCTTATGGAATGTTTACCATAGTAGTGGTCAGCTGTAAACAAGCTGCTTGTTGATGATGTAAAATGTATGTAGGGGGTTGCCCTTGGAAACGTCTTGTCTAAGTTGTTTAAAATGGGATTTAAATGTGGTTGCTTAAATCCCAATCCTTGTCATAGAATGCTGTGATTGTTACTATATTGATTGAACCGTGTGTCACTATAAACCATGGTCCTCCTGTATGTCAGATGTAAGCATTTCAGTGCTGCACATATCTGCTGTTCTATGGGATTCTAAAATACTTGGTGAACTGTAGTCTGTCTGTGGCGTGACAAAAAAACTGCTCTTTCTCTGTTAATACCAAAAAAATAAGGGGGGAAAGTGTTTTACTGTCACATACACTGAATAGGCGCAGTGAAATGTGTTGTTTTACAGGGTCAGACATAGTAGAACGGTGCCCCTGGAGCAAATTAGGGTAAAGTGCCTTGCTCAAGGGCACATCAACAGATGTTTTTACCTTGGCGGCTCAGGTATTCAAACCAGCGAACGTTCAGTTAGTGGCCCAACGCTCTAACCGCTAGGCTACTAGCCTATACAGCTACACCTTCAGTTTCATTTACTGACACTGTTTCCTGTTACGAGAACGCTAGGTCTGTTTCTTCCATACGTGGGATTGTCAGACTATGCCAGCAGAAAGTTTGGCTGCTTTCTCTATGAACAATCAATGCCTTGTCCCATATAAAGGCGCATCATGAATTTGACCCTGAATATAGCCTATATTACAATTTCAGACTAGCCACATAGGCTGGGGTATGAGTGCACAAACAGTGCTTTTTCACTGAGTGTCCACCAATGGAAAAACAAATGTTTGCAGTTGAATAGGTATATTGTCTTCTGCAGTTGTCAGACTACACAGTATAACATGTAGTACTATCTCCATATTTAAACATCTGATGCTGTGTTATCCCATGACTCAGCCATTACGACACTGCACTATTATGCAAGACCCCTGTTCTGGGATATGGAGCCTGAAGGCTTCCAATGATGACATCAGCAGCAGTAACATCATCTCCGCCCACCTGAAGATCTGTCTTTTTCAGCCATCTATTTCCTGTGTTTGAGGGGTGCAAAATCCATTTGTCACTTAAATCTCGGTGGTTGATTGCTTCCATTTCACTCCTGCGACTTTTTCATACTGTAGTTTTTCCCTTTTAACGTTACGACAAAATGGGCTCAATGGAATACATTGTCTTTGTATTGAATCTATAAGAACTCTAAAGCTTCTTCAGGGATTTAACGCACCGCCTCAATAATTACATCACAAGAAAGAGAAGAAAGGTGATTTTATTTTGATGGATGTAAATTTTTTGTGGAATTGGAAAAAGTAATAATTTAATACAGTTGAAATGTTTACAAATTAGATGCGCTGAAATGAAGGCAACTTCCGAATTTGAACACTTGGATTATAGTGATATTATGTTTGATCTCGCAAAAAATGTAAAGTATGTTTAGATATGCGTAATCTAGTCAAATCAAATTTGATTTGTCACATACACGTGTTTAGCAGATGTTATAGCGGGTGTAGCGAAATGCTTGTGCCAAGCGTGTTGATTTTTAATCCGAGGGTAGCCTGCTATTGACACACTTCTGCACGAGAACGTACTTTAGACAGAGCATATGTTTGGTGCTTGCAGCCCTGTCCCACCCCTTTATGTTAATTTATCCATATACAAATACACATGCTGTATTTATGCAAATTAGGCACATATTATTTTATTTATTTTAGCACAAAATATTTTTGAAATACTTGATACAATTAAAAAAAAAAAAAAAAAATACAATAAGAAAATGAGTGCATTCTAAGAAAAAAAATGTGAAATAATTTTTTTTGGGGGGAGTATCTTCATCCATTGTCCAACTGTTGCATTTATTATAATTGCTTTTAAAACTTTTAACAATTTAGATGACAGTTGCTACTTTTCTTCAGAATTGATCCAAGTCAGGCTGGACCACGTGACCTGACATGGTCCATGTTCAGTTGCCAAACGTTGTCGAGCCTTGCAGATAGAAATGCCATGAATATGTTGGAGAGGCATGTTTGTCCTACATTACTTATTTCTATCTGAATGTTCCAAAACGTCCTGCTGAAAGCGCTCCCCAGGGAAAACTCCAGGGCCCAGGTCATATGGGCAGAAAAAACTCCTGGCTCTACTTATGGCCCATGTCGATCCACTGAGTCTAATTGTATTCTTCTTTGAGTAATGTACAGTGCCCTTCACAGTGGTGCGTGAGATCACAAAACGCTACAGAGAAGTACAGATGCAATAAAAAGCTGATTAGTGACTGCAAGCATCAATCAGACCACACAGAGGGAGGTAGCCTAGTTGTAAACATTTGTCAATTCCCTATTAGTAATTTAAACATTGTTTTAAACATTGACATAGTTTTTAGACATTGTGGGCCACCAAAATATTTGCACCGTCTCGGATGTAGAGCCAAAGAATCATCTGAATAATGTCTCAGACCAGTGATGGAATTTAAGAATTTTGGGCACTAGCCAGCCAGGCTAGTATACCAACATTTCTACTAGCCCTGGTCCAAAATCTGCTATGCAATAATGGAAAATACAAAAATTCACCTGCATCCCGGGCTACTTTGGCACAATTTCTACTAGCCCTGTCTGAAAAGTACTAACTAGCCTTGGGCTAGTGCGCTAGCTTAATTTCCATCACTGTCTCAGACACTAAATAGCCTAGCTACGAGGTCAGAGTGACGGGAGGCTGTTAACCTCAAAAACACTCTTAAGATGAGGGGGTAATGTCAGTGTGTGTGTTAAAAGATTAGGGGTCCATCTGTTTCTATGTCAGGTACATACAGAAGGCGGTGTTTTGGAGGTCTGTGCTTTGCACAGAGCTGTGGTAAGGACAGGACTGAATTGGTAGGATCAGGCCAGTAATGTGTTCACTGTGACTGTATGCCACAGGGCACATTCATCTCTCTGGGCTGCTGCTCTGCCAACAACAGACCCTCCTCTCTCCAGCCTCCAGGTCTATAAGTGATTGTAAATCTCCCTCTATCCTTTTTTCTCTCTCCCCCTCACTTTCTTCCTTGCTTTTTCTCCCTCATCCTTATCCTCTGCCTCATTCTCTCTACACTGCCTCTCTCTATCTGTGTGAAAGTTCAACCCACACTCTCAAAATCCCATTAAAGGCTCCAGGGAGGGATTTATCTACTACTGAGTGTCTGCATGCATGTTCATCTGTCTATGATATGTTGTTGTGTGTGTTCAAGAGCATGTTCATGTTCATGAATCCATGTTTGTGTGTTTGTATGTGTAGGTCATAGGGCTCAGCCTTTTCTTTTCCATCCAGATAAGAATGCCTTTGCTTCCTAAATAGCATAGTGTACACTGCAATATGAACAAAGAGGAAGAGTGGCATGCATTGAATGTATTTTATTACAAACATGCAAAAATATTGTGCTCTAAGCCTTTATCGTTGATGAAATAGGCCTATTTCATTTTCTCATTGATTCTAGTCTAATGAAAGTGGGACCATGAGGTAATTGTTTTAACTATTCCATGAATCAATATTAGTTTGGTCAGAGAGAGGCTGATGATATTGGGTGTGTGTGTGTTTGGTTTGTGTTGTAGGTTTACGATGTAGAGCTATATTCATTGGTGTAGCGCAGTTTTGCAAGCGCTTCAATGGGTCAGAAGTCCATGTGTTGTGATTCTGGATGGCCAGATAGCTAGCAACAATGACAAGAAGCTGTCATGTGGGGAATCATAGGTGGCTGTTTTGAGGTGTTTTGACTGATGTCATGTATATGCTAATATGGCCAAAATTGGCTAGCTAGCTAACCAACAACTGTAATGATGTATTTGAGAGACAACAAGTGCTCATTGTGCAGATTTATTTTTGTTATCAATTAACATTGGAGATTAAATATAGCGTAGTTTACATGTTGT